GACAAGACCATGAAGATAAGAATAATAGACTATGAATTTATAACGACAGTATACGCGTAAAAGTATGACACTATATATATATATATATATATGTATATATATATATATAAAAAAATCGAATTTTAGAAGCAAAAAAAGTAAAAAAATAAATTAACAAAAATCAAAATAAAAAACATACCTAACAGTAATAAATGTACTATGACCAGAAAAGATGTTATCGGTACAAGCCTTCACAGAACCAGTTATAAGATCTATACTATTTTTGAGCATGTTCGGAAAATCTCCAGGATTAAGAGGAGTACATTTTTTTGGACTAGGTAAAGTTGTAACGCTAATAGTAATCATTCTGAATATTAATAAAAAAGTGAGCATCCAAAAAATACGACGAAAGATAATAATTCTTGCGATATTAGATTTAGCAATAATGATATTGATAATCAAAGAACCAACAAGTAAAGTGAGCATAGCTACGTCGGCGAGAAAGACGTAATCGATTTGTGGTATCGTATTGAAACCAATATCTACCAAAGGTTCCATATCATAATTAGAATTTTTCCACCGAAAATCTGACCATTGTATACCAAAAGTACAAAGGAAAGCAGCTATCACTAAACATACAAAAGATATAAAAGTTCGTGATAATTCTGCGACCAAATATAGAGAGATATGTAAATGTTCAGCGAGACAATTTTGAAAATTAAAGCTTGGTATTCTCAAGCATTTTCTATTTTGAGTAGTTGTCGTGTTATTTGTTATATTCGTCGCTGGTGAAATAGTTATTATTGGGGAATCTGTCATAACTTTTTTTTTTTTTAAAAGATCTAAAACGGTATAGATGTCTATAAAAGTGAAAAAAAAAACCGATACAATGGGGGCCGAGAAAAGAGTATGGTTTTAATCTCAAAAATACCACTGAACCATATATATATATATAAAGAGTATATCAATTATCAAATATTATGGTGGCGTGCTAAGTTTAAAAAAGGATGGTCAATAAATTTCCGTAGTACTAAAAATGTTTTTGATGACGAAAAAAATCGAATTCTGTATTGTGATGTAAGAGGTCATTTTTGGGATTCTGTATCTGGTATAGTTATATGTGGCAAACCATGTGATTAAATTAAATTTGTAATGGGTTTCCTAAATTTTATTATTTGCTATTTTACCTATTGTTTTTATATAATGGAAAGCTGTGGTCAACACTATAGCTTGAAATTATAATTTAACGTTATCTTTGACAAAATCAAACTAAAATGTTTTGTGGAATTTGATTTCAGCTACCATTTACGAAATAAAACACATTGGATAAATTACTCAACTTTCGAGAGAGTAATCAAGAGAGTAAAGGGTATCAAAAACGCCATATGTCCATCAACTGTTTGTTACTCAGCAGCCTCATCGCAGTATTCACTCATTTAAACGTCATCAAATATGATTACCCGAAAGGTATTGTAATTTACCGAAAGCCTGGGTAATTTAATAGGAGATTTCTCCACAGGCACAATCTCTATATGGTGACACTAAAGTTTGGCGGACAAATAATATATCCGAAATTAGAGAATTCTTATTGGCACAGCAATGATCGATATAATCATTACTATTAAAATTAAAGCGAATAAAGTTAAATCCTTACAATTAAATTATACAAAATATAATTTCGATATTATAATAAATTCAAAGTATCGATCATTTCATTTCAAACTTTAAATCGGGTTAAGTGAAACAATCAGTCATAGGCGATCACAACAGTTATGTAAAATGGTCTCAATTTAGTGAAAAATTATTTAATATCGATATTGCTGTATTGTAGCAAACATTTGAATTGGTAGACTATGGGGGCTATGGAAGCACGAATCAGAGATCAATGGATTCACGCATATTGATTGACAAATTTTAACATAATATATCCCAAAATACAATATCTGGTTCTTCACTGAATTTGATTATAAATCAACTTAATTTAATATGTGCAAAAAAACTTATTATCAATTTCTTGTATCGATATTAGTGGAATTAAAATAAAAATCAAATTATAGTTAGATGATTATCAATTATATCAGATATGTTATCTTTGTTATATGACTTGCTTTACTGTTATATACCAATTTAATCATTAATATAATAAACTATGTTGTAGATCTGCAGCTTGAAGCAATGTGTGTTCCAAAAGTGTATTTACGTCAATCGTTAGTACTTTCACATTAATAAAAATATAGGTTAATTTAGGATATTTAGGAATTTTAGAACATTCGGATGTTCTATACGTAGAATAGGTGGGTAATATAAGCTTCGCCTATGTTAGTAATCATTAATTTTTTTTAATATATTCACGTGATATTTGGCGGAGTTTACCCACCTATTTTATAGAACATCCAACAAAATCTTTTAAGATAATCTGAAAACCAACTTTAGGTGACACAGTAGCTATGACATAGGATTTAGGTCAAAGTGATGACTAAATTATGTATCTGGGTATTAGGAATTTTGCTTGAAATTTTTTCTTCATTTTCATTGGACCTGACCAATTTGACCAATTTGACCGGTCTGGTCAAAGGATCTGGTCAAATTGGTCAAATAATTTATTATATTACATATATATTACATATACTGTATATTATATATACGTATTTATATAGTAGATTTGAACTAATTTGACCAACATCTAACCCCACATTCAACTGTTTCATACAATATTAAACTCAGAAAATTACAGAATTAAAAATTATCTTGAATTAGATGATCGTTTGTTTGTTATAGCGTAGATCTTTCGCACGTGATACATTCATTATTTTTTAACCCGTATACGGTATGATGATGTTAGCAATCTTGTCCCTGAAAATGGAAAACACGGATGCACGCACGGTCTGTCAAACAGATAATTAATAATTGAAATTGTCGCGTACTAGTTTATATCCTGTAATTAATTATTATATCTTTAAAATTCATTTAGAAAGAAGATTGTAACCGGATTTTAGATGAACAGGTATACAAAAAAAAAATTTCTTATATACTGTTTACATACTGTTTACATACTATTTACGTACTAATTTTACATCACCATCGGCTTGTATTCGAAAAAGACAACATATCTTCAAAAGATAAACACGGAAATTCAGGAGTTTACTGCTAAACTTAACAATTTAAAATTTGAATGTGAAAATTTGGAAAAAGAAATTGAAGCGCTTTCGAAAGAACGCGAACTCTATGAGTCACAAGTTATGAAAACCGTATCAAAGATGAATAATCGATCGTTACAAGAGACATGTAGATCGTATGCGTTATTTATTTATTTTTTTCTATCATTTAATTCCGATAAATATTTATTATGTAAAATGTATAGGTATATCTTTTCTATAAGACTTTATTGCCAATTGGTGGATATTGAACTTCCGGATCCAAAGAACGAGTTCAAAGATTGAAATTAAAATAAAGCCTTGATTTATTTTTTTTTCTTTTTAAAGTTACCACGTTTTGTCAATTGTATCTATAATGAATTAATTAATGTGATCTTAAGTTAGTAATTCAATAATATAAAGTTTTGATTTATTAGTAAATACCTGTCTATCTCTTAAACTCATTCGTTTTTTAGTTATCGCATTTTTCTTATGAATTACCATCATAAAAGCTTTATGTCTTGCCTTTTCTTTATTTGTGGTACTGGTGCCTTCAGTTTTTTTCCCTTTTTTGTGTCCGAATTTTTCTCGTCCTTCTCGTCCAGCCTTTATAGATTCTATACGTTCCTCATAATCTTGTTTGGCTTTTTTTCGTGGTCCGGTAATAAAATTGACATCAACTATATCCGAAGGTTCATCATGCTGTATTCTATTCAAAAAAAAAAAAGTGGTACACTTATATTAGTATTTGCATTTAATGGGTTAAATTAGTTATAGTATATTTTCATACATACGCGTCACTTTTGCGTTTACCTCCCTCCATTAATTGTTTAACTTTATGTTTCATTTTGAGCTCGTTCAGTTTAAAAAAATCTGCTGGTGTCAGGAGCTGTGTTTTATTAAAACAAAATGATATATTATTCATATGTAAATCAACAAAAGAGATCTAAAAAAA